CCCCAAAACCCCAAAACCCCAAAACCCCAAAACCCCTTAAATCTTCCATAAATTGACAAGAAAGTTAAATATTTATAAATTTAATAATCCAGAAAAACTAAATATGAGCATTGAAACCTTTATTGATTGCTTAGAAGCACCCATCGACGAATTGTGAAGAGGCAAGAAGGAAATGTGCTTCTCTCAGAACAAAAGCCATTTCATTAAGTTTGGGAAAAATAAGAGGGAAGTTCACTTCAAAGGCTTCAGTACCCATTCAAAACTTGTAGGAGTAAGTGAATCTCAGTACTTGTGTTAAGGATTATAGACCGTAGTATCTGATGGCCCGATTGAATCTGATAACGCTGTGTTTTACTTTGAGGTTACCATTTCAAAGTTAAGTCAAAGAAAAGGGTAAGTTCTGATACAACCAGAAAATTTAAATCCTGACATTTTACCATTACATGCACAACTCACTCCAAATAGAATTATCAGTGTGGGAATCTGTGATAGTGATCATCCAGAGAATTCTGAGTTAGGAAGTACAAGAAAATCATATTGTCTGAGAACGGACGGTAAAATCTATACCAACAAATGCAACGTAAGTCTCTAAACCTCTGTTAGCTCACAAAACTTTAGGGAATAGACTTTTGTCCCAAAATCCAAGAAAAAGATACTATCGGCTGTGGGATAATATTCTCTGAAGAGACCATCTTCTTCACTGTTAATGGAAGACTAATTAAGAAGGATGCATTCAGACTGCCACATGACCCCTCTATTGAAAGAAGAGCAGCAGTGAGCTTCACCAATGCTCACTGCTCTATCAAAGCTAATTTCGGAAAGAAGAATTTCAAATTTGGAATAGAAGATATGCTCAGTGGTCACTACAAAGAGGTTTATGAACAAATAAATCAAATTAAGATCGACCCTAAAAATGCCTTCGATCTCGTTCATGAGTACCTCATTCACTCAGGCTTCGTTGGCACTCTCAAGGCTTTTGAAGAGGAATCAGCATTTGAACTGATCAAAAAGGAAAAACAAGAGGAACAAAAGGACGAATTTGCAGCTATGGCTAATATTTCTGCAAGTGTAGAAAAACCGAGGAAAAAGACCCTCGGACCAGAAAATTTGAAGTTCAACAGTAAGAACTTTTCCACCTCGAATAAGGACGAACCAGTTGGGAAATCAGAAAGAAAGGCTTCACAAAGTCCTCCTGAAAAAGTGGAGGAACAAGAGAAAGAGGATGATAATATGAACGACCAAAACCCTGAAGAAGAGGTAAAGGACAACAAAGAAGGTAATTTCCAGAATTTTACTAACCTCCTAACAGTATTTCTAGAGCAAAAAGATGAAAAAGAGCCTGAGAACAACCCTGAAGCAAAGGATGTTGAAATGGAGTCATGTGACCTACATAAAGACAATAACCAACCCAGTATATTTGACCCATATTATTCCTTTATAGAAGAGCCTACTAGGGTTCCAGGAGAAGAAGAGGAGGAAGTTATTGATACAACTACTAAGAACAAAGATGCTGAAATGGGAGAAAGTGCCCGCCATAGAAATATTCCAGATAAATCCCTTGTCTCAAATGATGCAGGAGAATCAGAACTCTCTGAGCCTTTTGAGATAGATCCTTTCTTTGGTAAAACTGTGAGCTTGGATATCCTTAGGTCTCTTCCTTCCTCGAGGCAAAGAGCTGGTAGAAGCGAGAGTATTCATAACCCCATCCTGACAGATTTCTGGAAAACTTTCAACGAAAATGGTGAAGACTGGACTAAAATAAAACCTGAACAAAACTACTATAAGCTTGAAGAAAGAGGCTTTATTAGGCATTTACTCCTTGAAGGAAAATATGTGCAGGCTTTCCAGCATTTACAGGAAACATTCCCTGAAATTTTGGAGGAAGATAAAAGAGTTTCTATGGGCATCCACTGTCTCAAGCTTGTCGAAATCATCAAAGAAAATAACATGAACGACGCCATTGAATTTGTGCAGGATAAAGAGTTTAACAATGATGAAATTATCCTTCCAGCCATTAATGAGGAAGGAGATTTCACAGAAGTGAAGCCTAAGGACTTTTTTTCCCTTGTAGCGTACACTGATCTTGATACCTGACTTCATAAGTATCTCCTCAATGACGTCCAGAGAGAAGTAATCTCTGACATGATTAATGACATCATAGTCTCGAGTCTTGGGGGTAAGAAGGACTCTGAGCTCCAAAGGTATATGAAACACTTGAATTATTCGCAAATTTTTGAGAAGATGAATAGGAATCATGTAGGAGAAATATTCCAGTTCAAAATTCCTAAATAAACTAATCTTTTTAAAAACCTGATATTCAATTTGTCACTAAATAAGAGGGGTTTTGGGGTTTTGGGGTTTTGGGGTTTTGGGG